ATAATTAAAATAAAATAAATGTTGTCAACTAAAAATTTTGAACGTCATAGCTAGCTAGACATTATTTTCAATTGAAAAAAAAAAAAAAAATTATAAATCATTATACTATAATCCTATGCTTAAAATGTATTTTCTTGTGGCCGCCGGACAGCAACCTGTAAATCTATCGCGACAGTGAACGTGGTAATAAGTAAATGTTCAAATTGTATCGTGTTTGATATCATTTTCATCAGAAAAATCTCACCAACATGTTAAAAAAAATTCCCGATGAAAAAAAGTAGAATTAAAGAAATTATATTTTTCTATTATAATTTGTGGAGTCGTGTAATCTCGTAAAGGAAACCGACTGGTGTAGCGTTACACGCTTGACTGATGGGCGCAGCAATGACGCAGACCTAGGCGTAGGACCATCTATACTGTTACTTGTAGAATCCAAATTTACTGACTCTTGTAGAGAATTTACAGTATGTAGTAGAATTTTATTATAACAATTCTGTTACTACTTATCGCAAACTTATATATTTGAAACTATAATATATATTAAAATCGATTATTTATTTCACGTAATTTAAAAGAACCTATTTGGTCCTCAAGATATATTAATTATTTATAAGCAAATATGTTTTTCAACAACTATGAGATATCTGATAATTCGTATATACAAGGATTTCGAGTTATTAATAAAAAACCATACATTCAGATTGTTCCTATTTTAACGTATAAAATGCATGTTAGAATTTAACAAATAATTTTCATTCCTCCATGAAAAAGTTTGTACATTTCATATTACACGATTTAATTACGTTTCGATGAATATTTCTTCTGTAAATATATAAATCAGAAGATTAAGAACGACAACAAACGATCGACTAATTTCATTTTACATATTCGTTATTCGAATGTAATTTGCAAGTAACGTAAAATTAATTTATTTCTACATTTGTTAGGCAAATATTTAAATTGACGAAAAAACTGGTTGGTCGACCCGTAAATCGGAGATTCCACGTTTGCTTCCACCGGAAAATCTGTGCAACGTGTACTACACATAGCCCCAACTCTTCGTTCCATTAAAATGATTAAACAAAAACTTTCACAGCGTAAAACAGGCAGTTTTAAAGTTTCAAACGAATCTCACTAATTAGACCGGTTGGTTGAATAACGTTCAGTAATCCGTGGGTCCGGTTTTCGAATTTTGAATTACAAATTCCACGGGAAGTGGAATTATAAATGGTGATTGGTTCCCTCCCTTTCCAAATATATATGTATACATGGTATATCGTGAGAACGACCAGTAAATTTGCATAACAATTTGGGTCGAAAAAAAAAGAGGAGAACACCAGGTCTGCATAAAGGATCAACCAATGTAATTTTATTTCATTGTAAATCGTTTTTAACGTTGTTCCCTTTCGCGGTAAAATAAAGCAAATTTCACTTGAATCGAACACTCGAGAGGTTGAAATAAAAATATTCGTAAATAATTATTTCAAATTCGAAGTGAATATTTTATGGAATCACATGTCCAGTAATTTCATTTAATTGCAAATTGTTTCTAACGTCGTTGCTTTCGTGGCAAAATAAAGCAAATATCTTTTAAATTGAACATTTTAAAATTTCAAGTGAAAATATTCATAAATAATTATTTCAAATTCGACATAAATATTTGACGAAGGGACAACGTTCAAACCGAATGAACTGTAATTTTATCCGATTGCAAATTTGCTCTTGAAGATGTTCCTTTCACAGAAACAAACGTTCGGAATATTCCAAAATAATAATTGTAAAGTTGAAATAAGAAGTTACTCGGTGAAAATTTGAATTGGAAGAAGACTCCGAGAGTCACCCAGAGGTGAAGATGCTCGTAAGGAATCACGAGGATGCGCTTCGAGGGGCAGGAAGTAACGAGAGTGAAAGTAATTACTCTCGCGACTAATTATGTCGTTGCATTCACAATGAGGATATTCTGAATCGTTGAAAACTTCCGGGCTTGAACAGATTTTAGTCGGAATTAGCACAAAATTAGCACAGTAAGCAAAACTAATTGAAACATATAATATTCATTACGCGACTTCTTCGAAAAACTGAATGAACATTTCGCCTCTTTCTACGGGATATCTAAACGACCCACCTCTCAGGTATTTTAATTTCAAAATCTTAAAAGATACGACTGTCTTTCCGTGCGTCTATGTCGTCCATTAAATGATTAAAAACAGTGCTGAACATTCGTGTTTCACGTTTGTCGGTTACCAAAAGCATTGGTAATCTTTTCCTTTTCGTCCAATTCGTTACTAGCGTTTTATCTTTGACATGAAATTAATTTAGCTTTCTTTGAAAGAAACTGCAATTTAGTCTACAATTTTTAATCGTACAAAATTTTAAAGCTTCAGAGGTTTGCAATAATTATTTTCCAAATAATAAATATTTCCCAGTAATATTTCGAGAAATTGAAAAACATCTTGGATTCTTCTAGAGTCTCGAAATAAAGCATTAAAGTGTTACAATGTTTTTGTTAGCCTACATAATTGTTTGCAGAAAGTTGAAAAATGCCTGGGACCATTTTACAATGGCTTACACGTGCTTAAATAGCTATAACAATGTCGTGCAATGCTGTAGAGCTTCGTCAGATTATTTCCACGGTTTGGAACAATGTTGTACAAAGTTGAAAATGGTCTCAAAGGGTTCTCGAATGTTCGTCAAACTTCTGGAGAGTCGTGACAATGTCGCAGAGTGCTCTGAAGCCTCTCCAGAGCTTTCATAATTTTTAACTATCTTGAATTCAACCGTAAAGCATCTGAAAGTGTTCTACATCGTTCATTCAGAATGTCACAGTAACGTTAAAAGATATCACAGAATGTCGAAGTACCATAAAGCAGATCTATCTCTCCTTACACAAAATTAAAAAATTCTATAAAACATTCATACAACGTTCCAAATTATTTTCACAATTTTCAACAAAATTGCAAATGATCCAACGTTTCAGAAAACAAAAAAAGAAAAAAAATTCCACAAGCTTCTAATGAAACTTTGCTTACGTCGAAAGTAGGGGAGAGTCGTGCAGTACCGGCCACTCTAAGCTTTTGTACTATAACTTGGGCTAATGTTGGTAAAAATGAAATTTCAAAAAAATAATTTGTAGTACAAAGGGTGCTTAATAAAAGGGGACAAATCGTGTTTCTTAAATTTTCTCATAAAGATAAATAATTCATAGAAATAAAAAAGTTGTAATTTGCAGCGAACGAAAAATTGTCGTACAGTACCGGCCAGCTACTTAGTTGGTAGATTTGAAGGTCTAAATAATAAATAACGTTAGTAAAAATCATTTCAAAATAGAATAGAAGTTTTATTTAGGCACGTCTGCAAATATCACAGGTGAAGTGATCGATATTTTCTTGATCCGTACACTCCACGTGAGCCCAACCATTGCAGCTATGAAAAATAACTTTTGTCGTACGGAACACCAGCGTAAACGTTAAACGTCTTAGAACTCTGGTAGTACTGAAGAAAAAAGTACGTCGCCGGAATACGTTTTTCAGGGCTATAGTATTCATTTGATTTTCCATCAATAGTGCAGTCAACTAACAGTACAAGCGAAATCTAGATTTGGCCGGTACTGCACGACTCTCCCCTATATTTACCGTATTACACATTTCTCGTCAACTTCGACAAAATTTTGCCTTCAATCGCGAATATTTACATACTGCGATAATTTACGGGCGCTGTGATTGGCCAGTGTTTTTCGTTAATAACTCGAAAACGAAGCTTCAAACTACATTTTGGATAAGGAAAAAGTTGTTCAGAGCCACCCCAGCAACCCCCCATTTCCGGATGTTCGAAGAGTTGCGGGACACCCTGTACATATTTACGTACGTAAATACAACACACACGTTGAAATCCGCGTGGAGACATTTTCGAAATACACGTGTAACGCAATATTGACGCCCGGTCACGATAATATTCGAAAAACGCGTCGGACACGTACATATCGGAAACAAATAAATTCGGTAGAACCGTGGTAATATACACATCAGACCCCCGCTATTGGCTGAAAAGTCGAGCGGATATTTTTGCAGACACTGCTCCACGAAATACAATATATTCGAGCCGGCGATGCACCATTGAATACCAAAGCCAGCTTGTAGGATTGTGTTTGGCCCGGTGCATGAATAGTTGATAAGCCGAGAATGTGTGCAACGAATTCTCTGTTTTTCGAATTGTCTCCTCTCTCTCTCCCTCTCTTTTCGTTGAGCCTCGAATTCTCGACGGCCTATTGTAGGAATAGAGGGGAAAGGTACGCTTTGAATTTTGAAACAGAAATGATTGTATAAAGTAGTATCCCGCTCTGTGACGGTGTCGTAATACAGTTGCAAGTGCTGTTCCGCATATATGTGCCGGTGGTTGTGAAAGTGGTCTAAGTCGTACATTTCCCGTTTCGAAATATTTCGAGTTTTTACCTTTGGGTGTGTTAAAAAATGTTTTTTCATTAGCAGAGGAGACGGTCTAAATATGGGCTGGCACTTCTATTTCAGGATTTATTGTCAAACCTGTGGATGGTTCTTAAGGTATGACACTTGATTATGTACACTACTGGCCAAAAGTTTGGGATCACTGTGCATTGCGAGTTACACAAAAATTTCCAGAAAAAAGTAAGCAATTTTAAGAACTGTTTAACGAATTTTTTTATAATTTAAATTAATCGAAATTGGGTTGTTGGATTATTACTAATAATAATGCGTCAGTCAGTAAGCAAAAATGAATTGTGTTATATATATGAGAAACGCTGCTAGTGAAAATAACATAATAGACCAGATGTCATCGGACCCGTAGACCTGCAACTGTTTATACCTAAGTGACCTGGGTAAAAGGCTGAGGCAGTCCTGGTCTCTTTCTCTCAAGTGGACAACAGACTTTCTGTCGTGCCTTTACGAGTTTTTCATTTTCACTTCGACTGCGATTTCCTAAGAGTAAAGACGTCCTTCCGCGCCAAAGAAATAAAACACGTTTAAGTAAATTCACAGTGAACGCTATTTATTTAACCCATTAATCCAATAGGGGTAAATTGCTATTGATCTCTACATCATTTCAAATCTATAAAAAATTAGCAGCAGATTCAGTATTGATGTAAACTGACAAGGGATTCCAAATTTTTGGCCGGTAGTGTATATCGATAATACGTTTTCTGTGTGATATGAAATGAACAAAAGCAATGTATGTTGCAAATTGCAAAGGTGTTCTAAATATGGGCCACTCTTGTGAAAATGTACATTTAAACTTAAATGCTATTTACGATCTATTTACTTTTTCAAAATTTTATATATCTTTTTTTTCGTCATTCTTTTTAATGTTTCGGTATTTTTCTTATCACAATTCTCACAGTCACCGAATTCTAATATTGGCTAGCCCATATTAGCATATTTGGATCATTTGGTCAGGAACGCTTAAAGCGATGGTTTATACTAAAAAGAAGCTTACAATGTCAGCAATGTAGTACTCTTAGTTAATTAGCTCTTAGTGTAACAGATTATTGCTGAAAAAATAAAACGAACTTACCGGAAAAATGCGAAATAAGAGAAACGACACGTTTTGCAACACAACACGTAAACAAAATAAACGCAGATCGTTATCTCCTCCGCAACACTTATTTGGTTCATAAATCGTAGTTTCGTTCTATTTTCCATAGGGTGAAGCATCTAACATGATTCGATACTTCAACTAGCCCATATTTAGACCACCCCCTCTAAAAAAATATTTCACAAAATACTTGCTCTTATAATGTAACTCTTTTCTACGAAAAAAATCGACGCAATGCAAAATAAGTGATAAATTCAATTTTTTTAGATATTTGACTTAGACCACTTTCATAATCACCGGTATACAATAGGTTGTACCGTATGAAATTGCTGTTGTCAAAGAATAAATGGCAATCAACCGTGATTAGTAAAATCTACGTAACTTATTATTTGGGGTGTCCCAGTCTTTTCTGATCAAACTTTGTCAATGTATTCTATGGATAGGGTTACCATACGTCCCGGTTTTCAACTCTTGATTCTTGATTTCAACTCTTCTTGATTTCTTGATTTTTAAACAGCTCCAAAGTGTACGGAATTCTATGAACAAATTAAGAATAATAAAGCATAAAAACGATATTGTTGCTTTACATGGCCGTCATTTTGCCAAAATACATTTTTTTGTGCTTTATTCTAGTAGAGACGGTAACAACACTCGTCTAAATTGAGATTATCTTCGATTTTTCTGTTTCAAATGAATACAACCACGTGAATCGTCGCAGCCATTCAGAATGGCACACTGTGGAAAATATATGATAACTTAAACAATAATTAAAATAATCACATAAAAATAACACTGTGTTCTCCCGAAACATGACCAAACGTGTACGAAAAATATCAATTCCCTAGGTTCCTAATTACCTAATAATTCTCTATCCCAAAAATCGTCTAAAAATAACGTCTTCAAATAGGAACACCCCCCTTAACCCCTTAACGTATGATTTCTTTTCCTGACTATGCATCTAAGCGCCGGCTATTTACCGTTTCAGTACTATATTAAGTAAGAAAAACTGATGTATCATAGATTAATTAAATTTGGCAATCTTTAGTTTCACAAATTAAATCAAAAATTACAATTAAAACTAATTTTTCTTACCGATGTAACTATTTTTACTAGATCTTAACCAAAATCCGTGGCACGAGTCTGACTGGTCATCATACACCAAGGGGTTAAGTCAAATATTTGAAACATGTTTCAAAATGAAAGAAAAATTCGTTAAATACAAAAGTGAAAACTCGTCAACGACTGAAATTGTCTACGGAGGGTGATGAATTCCTCCGGGATTATTCCAGCATCGTTGGAAAAACCCAAAAACCTAGAAGCCCCCCGGAAAAGAGGAGAACTCTGAAAATCGAGCTCTCGAAACTCGAAGCAACTGTCACAGATGCAGAAGAATCGCGCGAACAAACGAGCGGGATATCACGTCCTTGTTCCGGTTCCGTGATCCGGTCTGTTTGCATAGCAGTCGAGGACGCACGTCCATGTTATGAATACTGATCTCCGGTTTTCGGGCGACTAGCAGCCAGTTAATAACGCACGTATCGATCAACCACGTGGCCACTTTCAGCCTGCTGAGCGCGGACGTTGCGGTGGCTACACCGCTGATATCCATGGGCGCGTTACTCGGTAAGACGACCTACATGCAGCTAGTGTTCATGGGCATCCTCGAGCTAATCATGTTCACCGTGAACAAGTACGTGGGTGAGCATCTGCTCGTGGTAAGTTAACCCCTTCCTTTTTAGCCACCCGTGTACACACACCGTCACGGTTGATATTCGAACGGTGGTAAGCGCGCGTTTCCGCTCGATACCGGAAACCAACGTTCCGCCGCTGGTGCATCGTAAGCCCGACTTTCGCTTGGCAATGGAGGTGAATCGGGGAATGGAGGAAATTGCGCGATATATATATATATATGTAGCGTGAAGATCGAAACGATGAGCTTTTGGGAATTTTTTTGGAGTTATTATGGAGGGGGGGAAAGAAGAGATTTGGATTTGTCAATTTTGAAGGAAGAATTTAGCGTTGTGAGTGGAATTTTTTACGGTGGAAATTGGGAGAATTATTGGAATCGGTGTTTGTGAAAATTGAACGAAATTTAAGGAAATTTGAAGGATAAATTTTAATTAATTTTCTTGTAACATTCGACATCCCAGATAGTGAAAATGAATTTCGAAAGAAGAGGTGTATGTTGCATTTAGAATTTTTTGACGATGAAAGTTGATAGAATTAATGGAATCGGTGTTTGTGGATTTTTCATTGAATTCTTGTTTATAAATAATGAGAATTAAAGAAGTAGGAATTTTATTTAATTTTCTTGTAACATTCGAAACACCAGATAGTGAAAATGAATTTCTAAAGAAGAGTTTCGTATTGCATTTCCAATATTTTACGGTGGAAATTGAAAAGATAATTGAATTACTGAAAACTGATAGAATTACTGATAGAATTACTGAAAATATCTATTTCTGCTTCTTGTAAATTGATAGAATTATTGAAAATACCTATTTTCACTCATCTATGTTCCGTATTCATGGACTTTTTATTGGATTCGAGTTTAAATTGCGGAAATTGGGTTAAAATTTTACGAAAATTCAACTAAATAAACGTGAAAGGAAATCTGTGCGATACTTCGAATTTTGAATAGTAGAAGCAACGAAAATCGAAGTAGAAATTTTAACGAAATTTCTTCCAATATTCAAAACACCAGCTAGAGAAAATGACGAAAAGTTAAAAATTAAAAATAACGAAGATTTAAAATACGAATTCCCAGATACTTGAAAAATTTATTGTAAAAAACTGTTCTCACGAAAGGAATAATTTTTCTTTGCTGGTCTTCAATGTCTGCTCGACGTTTTCCGGAAGTTTGGAATTTTCGAGCGAACGATCGCGGCCAACGTAAGTTTCGGAGGCCGTCCCGAAAAGTTCGAAGCTTTCAAACGACGCCCGAATAGAATTAGCGAGTACTGATAATTAGAAAAGTTGCGGAAAGTATTCTGCGCGTTCGATTTAAAAAAAGAAGATAGAAACGAGCAGCGCGAGTCAGCCGTCGTGTTATCGATCCTTTGGAAAAGTAAAACGGGGAAGAATAAATTCCTCCAATTTCTCCACGTTCATCTTTCCATTGTCAATTTCTTATTTTCATTACCGCGATCTTTGTAAAATTGTTCGATTAAAATAAAAAACCCACCGTTTCGCCTGGAAGTGTTTCGAAAGAGACAAACTTGACGTGAAATTAATCGTGTAGCCAAAACACGCGAGTTTTCACCGCACTCCACGTTGGAGTAACATCGAATTTATTTACTTTTACTATTATCGATTTCATTTCCAATTTGCCGAACAAACACGAAATCTCCGCTAGATTTCACGTTAACGTGTATTCATAAAAATCCTGTTTCTGGATAAAATATGCACATGTTGAAATTAATGGCGCACCGTACGGATGTTTGCGATTTTAAAGTTAGCACAGCTATTTGTTTAACCTGAAAAATTTTCTTCGGCCCGTTTCGAACGCGCTTAGGATGATTTGTGATCCTAGAAAGAATGAAGAAATTCATTTCGATATATTAGGTGCAGAAATTAATTCGAGGCCTCTTCTTACAAACTTCGATGTTTATTTACGAAATAAGTAAAACAGGATTTTAACGTGCAAAATAGTCTCCGTTATTTCCAACGACCATTCTTCCATTTTTCCGGGAACTAACGAATTCCCTCTCTGAAAAAATATGGCGCTTTGAGTCGACAGTCGTCGAGACTTTGTAAAAAAGGACACCGAATTAATTTTTGCATTTGATGATATTTCGTTGAAATTTCAAATGAAATCTACTTTTCTTGTAATATGCGACAAATTGAAAATGTTTCATTTGAAAAATTCAAACGAAAATGAATGTTTCAATGTTCGCCATTTGCACGATCCGGTGTTTTGAATATTACAAGAAAAATAAATGTCATTGAACAATTGAAACAGCAAAATTTCTGACGATTAATCACGTGAAAAATTGTGGAATAGGAATTTAAACGTATTAATTATAGCACATTTATAGAGAATAGCCCAGAAAGATAATTTTCTTTCGGACTTTAATATAGCGTCTGTTTGTAGCATTAAGTTCTCCAATGGTAAAAATCGATTTAAAAGTGAAAATATGAGAGGAATAATTTATTTTCGTTTCGTAGGTAGTTGATACTGGTGACAGCATGTTTGTCCACGCATTTGGAGCGTACTTTGGATTAGCAGTCAGTTTTGTATTTGGAATGAAGGATAAACCAAAGAAACACCACTTGGAGGGACCATTCTACAACTCCGACATTTCCGCCATGATAGGTCTGTTCTTTGATACTTTATATAGTTTTAGTTATAGAATACAACTAGTGGAGACTGGGGTAAACCGGTAAATCTTAAGAATAAAATTTGAAGAAAATGTAGTTTATTAAAGCAATATATCCTATAAATAATAGTAAAATGAAAAGAAATATTTTTTTCTTATCTCTACATGAGCCACTCGTTGCCAGAAGCCAAAGTGATTAACTCCACTTTTTGATATTCTTCTAATATTAGTATGAAAACACATGCTTGATGTTTAATTCTTCGTAAATAAAAAAAATTTAATAAATTTAATTTGATGGAGTTAGTCACTTTGGTTTCTGAGTGGCTCATATACTAATCGACAACTACCGAAGAAAAGGAAACATCAATTAAACCAGTAATTGCAATAGTATTAATCTTCAGTGTCACCAGGATCAAAATTTTCTTTCGTTTATTCATTTCCACCAGGTATAGAACCATTTCTGTATAAAACAACATATTGCAAATAGTTAGAGAAAAAGAAGAATTTAAATTAAAGTAAAAGGTCGAAGATACGATTGAAATTCGTTAATTTCAATTAGAATTAACTCGGCGAAAAAGCAGAGTTCTCCAAACCTCCCAGAAATCAACCTAAATCAACTCCGCTAAAGACCACCGTGAAAAATGTGACCTTCTACTTCAAACAATCCATCCTTCCACGTTTCCACCTTGTACGAACGCAAACACCCAGCGCTAACATCAAACATAGAGGGTATCTTTGCTGGTAACAGGAGAAAAGGAAAACGGTTTGCTCGACAGGCACTGTGTTTCTGTGGCTGTTCTGGCCGTCGTTCAACAGCGCCTCCATCCAAGGGGACGATCAGCAGAGGGCCATTATAAACACCCTTCTGTCGATCGCAGCCAGCTGTGTGATCGCGTTCGCGACCTCAGCCCTGGTCTCGAAGGACAGCAAATTCAACATGGTGCACGTGCAGAACTCGACTCTGGCCGGCGGTGTGGCCATCGGCACTGCAGCAGGTACTTACAAGACGGCCTAATTAATCGAAGATTTACATTAGACAGCACCGTTGCGTCTAACTGACCAACGTTTTCTGAATAAACACAGGTATGATGTGTCAACCCGTGGGCGCATTGGTCGTAGGTGCTTTAGCCGGACTCCTCAGCGTGCTTGGCTACAAATATCTCACGGTAATTGGCTACTATTTCATTTTGGAAGCGTGTATAGAGTGAAGTTTAAATCGAGTTCGAGTGTCTGAGAAAAGGAATTATTCTTGTGGAAGGTGTGTAGAGTAATTGGAAATAATTTATCGCGTTCACTGCGGTATGACCGCTTGGCAAGTCAAAGGTAATCACAATGTTAACGTTAACTTCGACCTCAACCTTAACATCATTCTCAACCACAACCTCAGACTGAACATCATTCTCAACCACAACCACAGACTGAATCATAACCGCTACCACAACTTCAACCTCAACCCGAACCTCAACCTTGACCACGACCACAGCTTCAACAGCAACTCAACATGAGTCAAAGGTAACCACAATGTTAACGTTAACATTGACCTCAACCTTAACTTCAACCTCAACCCGAACCTCAACCTTGACCACGACCACAGCTTCAACAGCAACTCAACATAATCACAACCGCTACTTCAACCTTAATCGTAGCCACACGCCTCAACCTCAACCACAACTACTACCGCAAACGTAACCACAACCGCTACTTCAACCTCAACCATATCTACACACTTCAACCACACCAGCTAACGGAAACTTAACCACAACAGCAACCTTTCTTCTTTTTTTTTTTTTACGTATGGGAAATCCTCATGGACACCCCGCCTCCCGGAGAAGGGAGACGGGGTAGTGCCGGACTCTTACCGATTAAAACCCCCACGGTGGTCCTTCCCCGTTGTGGGGTGGGCCCGGGATCTCGTGACGAACGCAACCAGATCCACCCCACGCCTGGTCCCTCCCTCAGATGTTCGCGAAGGGAGGGGCGCCGTTCCCGAGGGGGTCAAAGGAACCCCCTCTCCACAACCGGGACCACACCGGCGACGCCCCCACCGCGGGCCGCGTGCAATGACCGCCGGGTCCCCCACCCGGCTGAGCCTGCGACCCCGGCGACCCACACAAGTACTTGGGGCATGCCCCGCCCCCAATTAAGGGGATGGGGCTTTCCTGTATGAGTCACCACCTCCGCGGGACCCGACGGGAGGATGACTCCTCCTCCGGACCCGCGTACTCGGGTACCTCGGGGTCGTAAAATCCCGTACCGCAGCACAACTCGAAGGTCGACCGCGGCCCCTGAGGGAACCACAACAGCAACCTGAACTTCAATCTCAACCTTGACCGCAATCTCGACCACGCTCATATCCTTAACAATAACCGCAACACGAACCTCAACAGAAACCATAATCACAACCACTACGTCCACCTCAATCATAACCACACACCTGAACCGCAAACTCAACCAAAACCTCGACTTCAACCTGAACTTCAACATCGATCACACTCACAAACCGTAACTGCAATCACAACCGATACCTGAATCCGATACCACAACCGCAATCTCATTCTGAACCGTACTTTCGATCACAACAATATTCGTCAACCTGAAACTTCACAAACAAGAATTTCTCTATGCAGGCGATTCGTTCGTTTTTTTATTTTCGCAAGCCAAGTGACTTTGCTGATTCTTGGACACTTTTCGCCGATCTGAATACGCTCCACAGTCACAAGGTATCGGGCTTCAAACTCTGAGATCCCCAGTAGACATGTTGAAAGAGTAGTTTCTAAGATTCAACGCTGGTATGGTATGAATAAAATGAAAGTAAGGTTGATTAAAGTAACTATTGACAGAATATTTCTGTGTCTTAGGTAGAAACGTTGGGTTTCAAAAGTAAAATGTGTCGTAGAATATTAATTTCTAATTTGTTTGTGGAATATGATTTAAAAGTATCCAATTGTAATCAAACAAACGTACTTACTAATTACACAGACGTCCTTATTTTCTAACTTAGAAATCCATTTACGAATTTCTATAAAATGAACCACTTTCTTTAGCGAACACCTAAAACGAATGATCGTAGAATAAACGAGAGGCGGTCGAAAATAAAATGAACGACAAAACGAATAATTCTGAAGTCGATAAATTAAATAAAAAGACATCGATCTTATTAAGCCACGATTAATCTTCGATTAAAATCGACAGTGTCCTCCTGAAATGAATACCACTTACGAAGATCGTCGAAGGTACGGTAATGTAACGTCGTGAGAATGAAGTTGAACGTGTTAGGTGAATGGCGGCGTTCGATAATCATGAGGCCTCGTATAAGCTCGATGCACATGTTGACGGGGCTGGCTGAAATTTTTACGCTGCCAAAGTGCCAGGGAAACTTCTTGCCCCAGCTAGCATCGTATACGTGGTGAACATAAATTTCACGGAAAATGGGCTTCGTCGATGGAACGACGTGCACGTGAAGCCTGGGAAACGATTATGAATCGCAGGCAAATTAAATTTACCAGCACGTGATCGGCCGTGACATCAGTTACCCTCGGTGGTTAGCTCGAACCAGTCAGTATCGCGTTACTTTCGCATTTTGTTAACCTCTGGCGCGACCACGATTTTCGACAATTCCCCGACATATTCAAGTGTTGCATATGTCAGAAAGTACTCTAACTCGGAGTAGGGTGGGCGTAAAATTAATTAAACGTTTCTGTCTGAGCATCGTTCGCAAAAAGTACGCGTTCAACGGTCTCGCGAAGAGTGTGGACGCGTTGTCCTGCCGATCCTTGTCCACCCCTACGCGAACAGGCCCAGGGAAAAACCCAAAGGGGCGAGTCGTCCCTACCGAGCGCGCTGGGCCTGGCTTCAAGATGCTCGCTTCACCGTCTTCGGGACGGATTTTCCCCACACATACGTGATCGGACATCTTGTAAAATTCAGCGTTACAGTCGAAGACAGAAATATGTGGACACACTTGAAAATAGAGTAACTTTTTTAAAATTCGGCCAAACGAGTTGAGTTTTGTTGAGAAGTTAGAAGGATTAGTTTACTAGATGACGTATACAAAAGATTTGGAAAAAATTGCAATTTGTAGGAATCGCGAAGAAAATTGTAAAGGACACTGTTTACAACTTTTTTATCTAGGCTTGTGATGAAAATTTAAAACGTATGTTTTGTAGATCTATGTCAATTATACACACGCTGAAAATTTCATCGAAATCGGTGAATGGAGAAGGGCTTGTAATGAAAATTTAAAACGTATGTTTTGTAGATCTATGTCGATTATACACACGCTGAAAATTTCATCGAAATCGGTGGATGGAGAAACAAGCGACAGGCATCGAAAGATGTAAGAATCTGCAGATTTATTACAGTTCCAGGCCGAAAGTCGTGAAATAGTGCGATTTTCAACATTAACCGATTTCGATAAAATTTTCAGCATGCGTATAATTGACATAGATCTACAAAACGTATTTTTTAAATTTTCATTACGAGCTCGGATAAAAAAGTTGTAAAATGCGACCTTCGCTACTTTCTTCACGATTCCGACTAATTGCAGTTCTTTCAAAATTTTTTCTACCCGTCATCTAGTAAACTAATCCTTGTAACGTATTCAAAAAGCTCAAGCTGTTTGATCTAATTTAAAAAGAAGCTATTCTGCTTTGAAGGGTGTCCACATATTTCTGTCCTTGACTGTATATTCTGTGCAGGAGAATTTTTCATAGTGATGATTTTTGTTCTATTATAATGTGGAATTATATGTATAATCAGAATTATAGTGGAAAAGAAAAGTTTCAAATTACTTTTGAAGCCACAAAGAAAAAACACTCATTGACCTAATTATCCTCTGAAATTTTCTTGAAAAAATAGGAACTCAGCGCTCGCTTATATCATATCAGAATTGCATAATTGAAAAGTATTTTTTCGAACGTTCAAAACACATTCAAACTGAGGAACTTTTGTATCACCGAAAGAAAAGTATTGTTAATCTTAACAAAAAAAATTTACGAAAACTACAATCACCATAAACGATCGACGTCGCTCGGATTAATCATCAGGTATCCCTTAATTTCCGCAGAGTACACGCTGCGAATCCTCAGCAGTAAAAAAGATGGCGATATTGACTTAACCAGATCCGTGGAAGACGGATAATCATCGCAGTGAACTTTCCTCGGAAGTTCCTTTAATCATCTGCGTCGAGGCTTTCTTCGTGGCCCGCTAATTCCATATTCTTTATGTACTTTGTTCTTCTGGCTAGTTCCTTCGTTTAAGCAACGAAGGAACTTCCGGCCACGCACGGATCAAATGCAGATTAACCGCGTTGATCAGACGTTCTCGAAGACAAAATGTCCATTCTCGATGTCGATCTATGCACACCCGAAAAAGGGTGAATCCGCATGAAAGTGAAACGAATAATTTTTTCATTTTTAAACTTTTGAAAAATTACACGAAATCAACCGACACGACTTCAACGGTAAAATTTTGGCTTTGTTTAAAGATAATGCTTTGATCTTGCACTCGTTTTAAATCTAAAGCAAAATACTATTTCCAAATATTAGAACACTTGTTGAATGTGAAACGAAACAAAATAGACAATTACAAAATTATTAAGATCTTGAGAAAAATAATTCAGTATGGAATCTGATATTACAGCCAATACATAGAATAAAACTTCTAAATATCTATTTCCATTTATGGTGCCGTCGTAAAAATAAGGTCCTAACAGTGTGTCGTTGATTATGCCATACCAAGCATAAGCACCAAATTGAGTTTGCTGTAGGTTGTTGAACTTGTCTCCACAACCGCTTTCATAAAATATAAAAGCAATTATAGCTGTTAAATTGATCCTTGTACGAAATTTGCAAAGTTACACGAATAAGCAAATTTGGACGCGAATTGACCCATAAGTTCCATAAGCGTGCATGGAAAATATAATTTCTTTCCTTTAAAGTTGATAAAAGTGAAAATAAGGGAGATTTAAAGTTGATAGAAATGAAGGTAAGGGGAATTTAAAGTCGACAGAAGTGAAGATAAGGGAAATTTAGTCTATAAAAGTGAAAATAGGGGAAATTTAAAGTTGATAGAAGTGAAGATAAAGGGAAATTTAAAGTTGATAAAAGTGGAGATAAGAAAATTTAAAATTAATAAATTCAACCTCCTTCATTTTTACAATAGTAAAAATAACACAATGAAAATTACAGCCTTGAGTTTGTCAAACCCCATAAACTCCGTATTAAAAAATCGTCTAAATTTTCTTCTTTTTCCTAAAGGTTATTAATACTTTATTAAATATTTATGGACACGAAAATATTTCAGTCGAAATGGAAAAGAATTTGTGACTTGAGTTTGGGACAAGTTGATCCATTTTCTGTATAAGGGTTAAAAAAATTCGTGCTATCGTCATTACGCGAAAACCATTGCAAATTTGAAAACTCTATTCAAGCCATCGTATTGTGCACAAGAAATAGCAAAACTTTGTCCTCTTCTATTTTTCTCAGAAATATACCATTTATGAGAAAAACCCGCTGGAAATTAATAGCGTAAACGCCCTGTACATTTTTACCGACAGATACCAACTTTGACGAAAAAGTGTAATTTTGTATCGTATAATACTTTCTCTACGAAAATAATAGGTGTCCCGATACCTACGAACGGCAGTGCATATAAAATCTTTACTATTAACAAATACAACATTGCTAAAATTTGAAACGTCAAGTCCAACCCCCACGAATATTCAACGTCGATTTATTCGAAAACGAAGCTTCCTATGAAAAAATCTTACTCCACATTTTCCACTTATTTTTTTACGTAGATTCACCCACCCTCTTTTCAAGTTGCACTGCCAGTTTAGTTAGACATTCTGTATATACGCGGTGGAGTTTCTTCCTCTAAGGGCAGTCACGGCGTAAAAGATTTCGCGAACTGGATGGATTCTTGAACAAAAGCGAGCCAGAAGGGCATCGTTTCGTTGGAGTGGCGGCCAATAAAATGGCAGAAACGAGCAGGAGAAACGTAAAGCTTAACGAAACCGTTCACGTTTATCGAAACTCCGTTTAACGTGGATATATAGTCCACGGGGTGGGTTCAGAAGTGTCTACGGATCGTTCGTTGCGTTTCGATGGCGTTGAAGGGGGCAGTTTAATTGATAATCCATCGGGTGTGAAAATAATGGCGCACCGCTTCGCGTGAAAATAAATTAAACCGATCGAAAACGTGGAACGAATTTTCTTTTAAGTGCCACAGTTTTCCAACTGTTGAGAATTTACTGGCTTCGAGCTCGAGCGAAACGTGATCACAATCTTTCTTTAATTGTTCGTTAATAAGGGTGTGACAAAAGTTACCGGGCTCTAATTGTAAGTTTAACTATTTCGTTACGGTCGAATGGAGGGCGATAAAAACAAAAGCGTAACACCTAAATACACAATTTTGCAACTCTACCGAGTAATACCGAGTGCCTGAGATATTTCCAATTGAAAAAACCCATTTTTTTACAATCGTAACCTTTTGCGATATATTCGCTTAAGAGGGAGGGTCTTTTATTTTTTATTTTAAAAAACACCGCGATAAGTGGAACAATTGGTAATTACTGTAACCGAGAAAAGTAACGAAATTTCGAACTAATGGTAACAAAGGGTGCACCGACCGTACGCGGGGAAAAAAGATTGATATTTTTGCAAGGGGAGCGATAAAACGCGCAGAGGGGATGTTTTTCGCAGGAAAACCGCGAGCGTGAAAAAAAAAAAAGAATTAAAAATAAATTATTTTCAACGCGGCCCGCATCATCCACTTAGATTCTCCCGCTTTTTTGTTATCCTTCGCTTGTTTAACGCTCACGTAGATCTGCGTGTTTCACGGAACAGTCAACAGAAAGCATAACAATAAATATGAGCATATCTGAAAAACGTGTGGCCGCGAATTTTCGCGAAATTTAGGGGGAAAAGTTACCGTACATTTCGGATTTGTTATTATTACCGGCGTTAATAGCGATTAACAATGTTTAATAGGGGACGCAACGGTGTAAAAATGTCCCGGGGAGGAACGAATTATCTTAATTGCTATAGCGTAACTTTATCTCTCGTATTTTTCGAAGGAAAAAGAGACGAAAATAGCACCGGTGAAATTGATCAATTTAAATCTTCATGTTTTATCGATCAAAACATGTTAACCGCACGTTTGAAACACTCGGGAGAATTTAAAAAGCTAAATACGATTCTACTCTCGGGAATTTGTGTTTCGAAAAAACGGAGGAATTTATGAATCTTAAACTTTTACTGCGTCTGTGCACACTTTTTCAGTTTGTCGCGTTTCTTTCTTTTCAATTTATGGAAGCGAAATTTACAAAGGGAGAAGGATTTTCTATACACCGTGTGTATCTCGCCGTATTAAAGAAGAGACAGAGGGTAGGATTAAATAAAAAAAGAGGAGAAAGTAGGAAGGAGCGCGACAAAAGGGAAGCGTCCAGCTGGTGCAGGAAACAAATTAGCAAATTGTTTTTCCAATGAACTGAATGTATTTCATTCGGAAATAAAATGTCCGAGGCTGAAACCGACTCAATTTCTAGATGTCAGTGGAAAAAGGATGCATGAAAATGGAGGACAAATGGAACCATTTAGTCGGTTCCAAATTATGTCCTGTAACTATAATAAAAAAACAAAGACATTAAATAAACGTTTTTATGATATTTCATGGTATACCGATACGAATTCAACGTGAATGATTAAAATCACGTGAAATCAAGTTTTATTGAAAAAGTGAAAATTTAAATCCCTTCAGGATTATCAGGTGGTAAAATAGAATTTTTTAAGATACAGTAATCAAAAAATTATCCATTAACTATGCCATATACATATATACACTACCGTGCATAAATATTTGGTCACTATGCAGGAAATATACTTTAAATAAAACTCTCTAATATAGTTTTGGCTTGCGATCTTATCCCAGGCGACCCACATAATGTTTATAAATACCAATGAAAATAACATTTGACACGAATTAGTATAAATGAAAAAGCAATAACTGAAATCGGTGGAAAATTGATGTTGCGAAAATACTTGAGTTCATCGACTTCAAGTGTTTGTCGAAAATTTCATGAAAAATTATTACCCTAATATGTTGTGCCAACGGTGAAACATGGAGGTGGTAATGTAATGTTTTGGTGCAAATAAAGTGGACAATTTAGTAAGAATAGATGAAATTCTACGAAAAGAAGAATATTTCAATATTTCAGGTGGACACATAGCGAACGCAATATTTACTAATTTTCATTAATTTGTTGGTAAATTTATTATCATACACTACACCTCAACGACATTCATTGTTGCTGATTATAGATAGAAATATTGCAATATAATAAAGACATATGAGCCTTTTAATTAGATCGCATCGAGTGTCCAAATGACTGTAACTTAAAGTGACGTACACCTAGCGGTTCGGCCGATTTTTTGCAAACACCTCCCCAATCTGCTGATACGAATGTAATTGAACATGTGTGGAACGAATTAGACAGGAAAATACGTTTACACAATATTACAAATAAGGACAGTCTTAGAAAAGCTTTACAAGAGGAACGGTTAAATATAACACCCGAATTTTGTGAAAATTTGGTAAAATCAGTTCCTCGACGACTAAAATGTGTTGAAAATGCATTTGGTTACCCTACAAAATATTAATATAAGTAAGTTATTGTAAAAATGTATCTAATTCTTTCTGTACGATTTTCACTCACAGCTAAGTTTCATACGTAATGACAAATTTTATCTAATTTACCAAGTATTACTAAACATTTTGTTATAGTTTTGCTATTTGTCAAATAAAGGAGCATCAAACTATATGCCTGCGTATGGGTTTCAATCATTCAGTGCAATTTTCACGTTTTATTGAAAAAAAAAGGCCGAACCGCTAGGTGTACGATTTTAAGTGACAGTCACTGTAGGTGAAATGATAGAAAGTCCCAACTTTACCACTAAAACCTGATACTTGGTTTCACCCCCTATCACGACTAAAATACACACTTCCCCTAAAAAGCTTCAAGTCACTCCCTCGACCATCTCTACACCCAACGAAACTCTTCTCATTCCATTAGACAGCCAATCATTATCTCCCATCCACACTCATCAACCCCACCACTCTAATTGTACCTCGAATTTCTTCCTCCTTATCAACCATCTTTCCCGAAAAATTACGTGTCCAGATTGCGGAGCACCTCTTAACGATACGAAATAAAATAGACAATATTGGACTTACCCTATTTGCAACAATAGATTTATCAACACCTTCGACATCTCGCGACGTAATATCGTTCATGCGACGCTTTCAACGAGATACCTCGTCCAAAGATTCAGAATCAATTCACAAGTCATCTCGTCCGTGGTGGGATACGAACAGATTAAAAGATATGTTATACAACACTTTATTAACCCTTTGACTACTGTTGACGCCTAAAGGCGCTTAAAAAAGTTGCTCTTACGATACTGTAGGCGCCTACAGGAGTTTCGAATTGTACCACTCTTTACTAGATTATTAGATATATTGTGGAAAAAACCTTAAAGTTGATGTTAAATTTTTAGTATGTGCAATAACAATTCAATACAGAATACGAATAAATAAATATTGGTTTTTTTCAGCGTTTTGATTATTTCAGTATACTTTCTCAGAAATGCACGCCTAACGAAAAATTTCGCCGTTCTCGGTGTAGGTTGCGACTGAAAACGTACCGTATGGTACAGCTGGCACGTCTCAAAGGGTCTGCCGTAGTCAAAGGGTTAAACGATCTTCGTGAAAATTCGAAAAAGTTTTCCTCATCTTTTAGGATGTCTGTATGAAAAAAGATTTGATAACTTTATAGTTAAACAGAACAAACCAGAAATCATCGAAATCTCCAGCCGCAACTTTTTCCTTGTCTCTTTTCAGCCACTGATCCAGAAACGTCTGAGGATCCACGACACGTGCGGTGTCCACAATCTTCACGGAATGCCAGGAGTGCTGGGTGGCATCTTCGGTGCGTTGATGGCCGGCCTAGCCACGGAAGCCTCTTACCATTATTCCCTTTATGAGGTACGTAAGTTTCTCCTCCTTTCCTTCAGTAACGAGGGATTAATCGGTGGCTAGCTGTTGGGTAATTGAGTTGGCGAAAGACGCTAAGTACACGACTGGCCGGTGAATGGCGGCGAACTTCTGTCGTCTAACTGCGCGGCAAAAAGCATCTAAGATCGCTTAATCTATCGGCCGTGAAACAAACGTCCAGGTGGGTGTGCGCAAGAAACTTGCGACTCTTGTGTTGTTGTTGTTGTTTGCTCGTGAAGGGAAGTTTGGACTTTAGGGGTGGCTCCAGGGGGAGAAACAGACGTCTTTGCTCCGTGTCGTCTGTGTCAGTGGAACTTGCTCAGCTGCTTGCTTGGATGGATCTTGAATGAACTATGTTGGAAAGCTTGATTGCCTTTGATATTGTAATTCGTGTTTTCTTCTTTTTTTTTTTTTTGTTATTTTCCTTTAGAATTGAAATACACAGGTTGCGTGAAAAAAAAAACTGTTGACGTTTATACTACCACTTATAAATATTTGTCCGATCAGGTATTCGTAATGTTCTTTAGTTTAATGAGCAATTTCAGTTAACCAGTTTCTAAAATGTAGATGTCAATGATTTAACTTGCTTTGTAACTGTTACGTTTAAAAATGTATGATTCTTTTAAACAATTTATCACATCTGTGAATAAATGCAAAGGAAAAAAGATTCCAAAAAATTGAGACTCTTTGTAGACCAAATGTTAATTTGTTAATATGATATTTATTGTTGTCAGTTTCGTTTCTTTAAAAAAAAGTTACTTCCATATAAGTGTCAATATTTTTTTTTCAAGCACCCTGTATAAAAAGTCGTAATTATATTTGAGAAGAATCATAATCTATTATATTTTCATGATTAGAGGCCATGCTGGAATTGTTTTCTTTTGAAACTATTAAGGCATTCTGGATCTTGTGGATTTTAAATTCTGTGCAGCTTGTTATAAAGTATCATGGCCATTTTATTACACAAATATTCCAAAATAACGTTCTAGATGTAACTTATTAATTGTCGTTAGATCTTCCCAGCTCGAGCACCAAGCTCTGATGCTGAAGATTTGGCTGAGATAACAGACAATTATGGTATATCGGCTGGACTGAACAGAACAGCAGGACAGCAGGCCGCCTATCAATTATTGGTACTTGTGATCACTCTTGCAATTGCCATCGTTTCTGGATTAATAACAGGTAGTAATTTCCAATACGACATTCTAAGATAACATGTTCGATATTTTCTACAAATTGAAGAAAACGTTTATAGATCTATAGTTTTCTTAACAATGAAACACAAAGTAACATTGCCAGAAAAAATTCAACATAACAATCGTTTATATTCTCGATAAATGAAATATTAAGTAGTCTCTTTTCTTCTAAAAGAAGACACGCAGCGGAAGTGTAAATTTTCACGTGGCTCTTCCTCATATTACCATCGCACTGGGACGAATAAATAAATTCTTCCGTAGGACTAATGATGCGCTTGCCGATTTGTGGCTCGATTTCCGAGGAGCAGAAATTCGACGACGAGGCTCATTGGGAATTAGAAGAGGAATCCTCGCAGGAATCGAAAAGCAAAGACGGGAACAGCTGTGGCGATCAACTACCGATGGGCCATATCTGAGGAGGATCCACCTTATCAACAGCGGCAAAGGTTTCACACTTGTGGATGTAAAAACAAAAAAAAATAAAAATTGTAACTCCGAAACTGGAAAATTTGTGAAATAATTTGTTAAATGATTATAGGATGTCGTGTCTACCTATGCAACAATGTTCTTGCATGGGAAACACTTGATCATCAGCCGCGTATTCAACAGGTAGCAGAAAGGTGGACAAGAGTGTTGAATCGATACTATGGAAAACGAAGTGCATAAAATAAAACGTTTCCTAGGAAATATTTTTGGAAAAAGAAACGGATCGGTGATAAAATTGATCGAGTCGTGGAAAGAAAAGCGAAGATACATATAGCGTTCCATGTTTTTTAATCGTATTATTTATATTTTTTAGAAAACTCTATAAATTTATACGATAAATTATTTGTAACGTAAACGTAGATTTGAAGTAGTATGCGAGCGTTTTCCAGGAATTACACAGCGATGTTTACCGGATCGTTTAGCGTATTGAGAGAATTATCGTAAGAGCAATATATCGATCGATCAAAAGACGATCAAGAACAATACATCTTTAAACATGATAATATATTATTCTTGCTAAATTTTTTTTGTATATAATTATAATAATGAATTTGTCAATAACAATCCATTGAAGTATTAGTTTGCTTCCTTTTTCTCTTTACATAATAAGTTCAATAATGTTTAATTATTCGAATCAACAATTACTTCATCAGCGCGTGTACTACGGCATTCGCGTTTAATGACTTCAAGTCCGTATAAGTTTGTCCAGTCCCAACAAAAACGATTGGTTGTCCGGTAATATATGTCATAGAAATCGCCGCGCCCACCTGCAAACAATATAAACAATAAATAATGTAACAATAGTTAATGTATACATATTTGATTATATTGTATCGATTGCTTTTTTATTTACCTTATCATCGATTGTATCAAATTTAGTTAACACGATGCCATCAATGATATGAGGATTGGTAGATTGACTATGATCGGCTAATGCTTGATTGAATTTCACTAATTGATCAACAGCTTCGTTTCCAACAAGAGCTTCACCGACGAAAAGTACTAGATCAGGCTCGTTCACTTTGATCAACTTTGCCAAGGCTCTCATCAACGGTTCATTATCTTGCATTCTGCCAGCGGTGTCCACCAAGACCACATCGATTTTCGAATCCTTAGCGAAGCGGATCGCCTCCATGGCTATACCAGCAGCATCCTTTCCGTAGCCTTTCTCATACAGCTGAACCATAGATTGATTTCCATGCTTCTCTGGTGGATGAAGAGCATTCAAATGGCGCATATGAGTTCTTAGTTGTTCAACTGCACCAGCTCTAAAATAAAATTTTTCCAAATATGATATGTTTGCTCTGAAATATAAAAATGCACAAAAAACTAATATAAAGTACCTGAATGTATCACATGCAGCAATAAGAACACGGAAATTATTCTCTATGAGCCAGAAACAAATCTTTGCCAGATTCGTCGATTTTCCTACTCCATTCACGCCACAGAAGGTCATAACGTAAGGTCTGTTGCTTTTTTTTGCTTCCATTGCGTCTCGTAGAATATCTACGCGTCTCTTTGGGGATAATATTTGTACCAATGCGTCGTTCAGCGTTGTCTTAACGGTATTCGTCACGCTATCGAACGTACCCAATACCTTTCCCTCGAGCTTCGTACCAACAGATTCGCATAATTTTTGAGCAATGTCAGCAGCCACGTTCTTCGAAATCAAGTGATCCTTCAGCTTATCCAGAACTGGAGCCATATCCTCGTGTTTCAAACTCTTGTTGCCGACTAAACTTTTGAACATGGAAAACATGCTACTGGATTTCTTTTGTACTTGCGGTTTGGAATTATCCATTTCCTCCTCGGACTCATCCTCCGATGAACTTTCAACTTCTATATCACGAATACCTCCTTTCATCTGACCTATTAACTGAAAAGGTAATTTAAATGTTAATAGTTCAAAAATTATAAGTAAATTATTAAATATGGTAATTTATAAATTAAAAGTGATAAGTATACCGTTTGATCAGCTGCCACATAATCACCACTTTCTTCTGGTTTATCTTTGGTGCGTTCTAAAGTAGCAAGATCTTTGTTGGTCCCACCTAATTCCCATACACGAGGTTTCTTGCCTGCTTTTTCAGCTTTCTTGCCAGCTTTCTCAGACTTTGGAGTTTTTCTGTAAAATATAATTACTGTATATAGCTTATCATTAAATGTAATTAGAAATTTATTATTTCTAAGTTTACAATACTTACGGCTTACCAACTTTCTTCTTTTGATTATTCAGTTTCTGAGCCAATTTCATACGATTTGCAATTAAAATTTCTTCATCTATTTCACCATTGTGATTAGCTTGGTTATTTGGCAGATCCTCTTTTGGGACCTTGAACTCTTGAACTTTCACTGTAGAATTAAATAAAAATTAGAACATGAAAGATTGAAATCCATTAAAGAAATATATAAAAATTTTAAACAATTCAATGTTCTTTCTAATGTTTAATAATTTACTGTTAAATGTTTGACCTATGTTAGATACAGAAACAGTAAAGAACTTAATTTTCCCACAGGCCTAATCACTGTTAATATTGTTAATTCATAGGAATAATACATAATTTATACAAAATGTGTATTATACTGGTACAAAATCTAAAATTACTTACTTTCATCATTTGTATTAGTATTAACTCCCTTCTTCCTTTTACCTAGAAGCGAAGAAGATCCCCATTTCCTGTTAGTGATACCCACATTGGAAAGGACATATTACTACCTAAATGAAAATTGCTTGTGATTCTATATTAAATCCTAAACAAATCTCCTCAACAGCTTAAAATACTTGACAGTCAAAAACAAATCAAAAAATCAAAAACTTGACAACTACTTTAGTGAACCATTGCCAACCTTATAAACTTATATAAAAAATTACACCTTGAAATAAATAAAAGTGCCATTTAACTAAACCTTCAAAGTACATTCATTACATACCCTGTTTTTTATTATCTTTGTCATCTTTCCGTTCAATCATACTAGCAACAGTCTTTTTTGATTTTAGACTTTCATCAAAGGTACGCATTTGTTTAGGTATCTTAGCCTGAGTCCGTGCCCATTGTTCAGCCATGGCAAGTACATGCTCATAATTATTTTGAAACTGATAATTATAAAACCACTGAGAGTGCTCCAATTCATTTTTGAATCTATCTCTAAATTCCAAATGGATGTCATTTAAAAATTTGTCTACATATGACAATTGTAGTATTTTCTGATATGCAACAACAAACACCAGCTCAAACTCGTTATCAAGTTTGTACTGTAAGCGTAAGGAATCATATTCAAAGGTATGATTTCCCGTACGTTCCTGCAAAAAGTTATTAACGGTGTCATTGTGATAAATAATCGTTCGACTATCGATTATTATATACAGAAAATACTTTTGGCTTCTTGTTTAATCTATCTTCAGCACGAAAATCATATCTTTAATAGTACTCCATATAGGCATAATAAATTTTTAAAAAATAAGAAGCCTTGACATAAACACTTACTTGCAATATGACACTTCGTATTAGCGCGTTAACACTAGGAGCAAATATTTGCGAAGTGCTTTGAAAACACCATAGCACAATACCACCTTTACTGAATATAGTAAATAAGTCGAGCATGATTGCACGATATTTTAGTAATAAAAAAATGTTTAATTCAATATTGCGCTCTAACCTACTAGTGATCGTCCAATTTGATTTTTGTACACGTCAGACACTGCGTAAAACCTTAGAATAAAAACTATAAGATACGATAAAACGTAAACATCAAGAAGTTTTAAGGCAACTGCACATTGCAACGATATACTTACGTTCATATCACAAAAAGGCGCCACATGCAATTTGCCCATATATTTAAAAATGTAAGTTGAATGTTTTAGAATATTCAGCTAATAGTCATTTATTTTAGTACCAAAATTTTGGAATTGTCAAAAATTAATTAGTATAGTTAAATCGGCATAAAGTCTGAATGATATAAGTACAAATATATGCCAAGACGAGCCCAATTTCGTTCATTATCATAGAACTCACATTTCTTTAAATAATTTGAACCACCTAAAAAAGAAAACGGAAAAACTATTTCTTCGTCACTTCTACTTAAAAAAAATATATTATCGTCATAAAAACTAGATAAAACAAACTTTATTTCCAAGGATTAGAAAGTACCGAAGATATAATCACCTCGGAGATTATACTTAAATAACTTTTATTACTAAATATTTAAATTAATAGATTATTCCACGTATACTGCTACTTAATTTCACAATAACGCTAGACCTGCAGTTAAAAACAAATTTATTACGAAGTACATTCGACTCATTAATTGACAATATTTTTGATTCACTGAGCATTGAACATTATATACAATATTCGCAAGTAAAATTTTCATTTTTCGAATTCTGAAAGATGAGTAAAATGCAATTCTGATAATAAGTATAAAATGTCGAACCATTTTCTGTAATTTATTTCTTTTTTTTTGTTTTTACTTAATTTATACAGTAACTATTCCTTTGAATCAAATAAAATGTATTTTCTTAATATTATAACCTTCAACAGGCAGTGTATAATTATCGTGTACACTTAAGCTGCTGATCTATCTTGTACATTATTATGTACAAAGTAGATATAAAAATGTGTAATGAAAACAACTTCATTAACATTATATACAGTAATTACAGCATACTTTACATAAATTAACAAGAGTTTACGCTATTTTAGTTAAATAGACTGTCTATAAGGCTGTATTAGAACCGTACATCATCATCTGAAGAATTTGATAGTTCGTAGACACCTTGCGCATTCGCTTCTGTACACTACTGTAGTCGAATAAAAATATGTCATTACGATAGTGAGAAAAACCTGCAATAATAACGATTGTATAAGGCATCAAATATTGCATTAATTATATTTTTTATAAAAGTATAAATGAAACACTTATGATAACGACGATGTACTAAAAGCAACATCTACACTCTTTAGAAATTCAATATAATTAAGAATTAAATCAGAAGGAAAATAAAAACTGTCTACGTAAAAGTGTATAAAAGAATTTCTTTTACATAAATTCGCGAAAATGCACATTACAAACTATAAGAAAACGATATTCACACTTCACATTAATCACTTTTTTAAAACCGAAGCTTAAATATTTAAAAAAAATGGTATATGAATACATATACACATATATATATACAATTACACTGATCAAAAACATAACACTTTAGCATTATACTTTTCATTCAAATAAGTAATCAAAAAATAATTGTTAATATAACAATGCAAGAATTTATAAAATCGTACGGTGGAAAGTTTTGATTTAGGATACAAGTATCTCTTTTGTAAAGATATTGCAACATTAACAGATATGTAGGAAATTTTGTAAAACTGTAACAGTTAATTGGAGTCTTTTATGCTAAAAAAAAAGTCTTCGTGTGTCAGCAGTAATACTGTTAGAAGAACACTTTTCCTACTAATATCTAATGCAACTTTTTACATAAGTTTTTAATCATAAACTCGACAATATTACTTTTACATACATATTACGTCTCGCAACATAAAAATTCTTCCGTTTTCTCATTGTAAAAATACAAAATAAAAATTATTCTTATAGCTTCGTTTTAAGTAACCGTGTAAATTTGTAGACTAGAACTTACACGCGAATGATATTAATTTTACTTCTAATCTTTCTTAGGTAATCTAGAAGTAAAGTTAAATCATATATACTTTGTGCGTGTTAAGGCGCTTCCTCCCTTTGTAGGATCCATCATACGGTCCCAATTAGTGTGACCAACTACAAATCCCACAGCGCGCATTTTCTCTTGTTCTTTACGTTCCTCTAAATCTGCCCATCTTACCTATTAAATACAGTAGTATTATCATACATTTAGGTGTATTTTTATTAACTAAAAAAAATTAAAAATATACTTACTCGTTTTTTACCGGAAGTATCTTCCATATTATAATAGTCAGGAACTTGAAGGAAATCTTTCATAGTCTGTACTTTCCCTTCGTTTTTCATTTTTGCAAGTCCATCCAAGCGATCTATTTTAAATTTATACAGTTAATGATATAGAACAAAATTAACTTTTTGTACAATATATCAATATTTTATGAAAGATACAATGACTAACCTAGCTTATCCTCAGCTTCCATGCGTTCCCACTTACTTACACCCTAGAAATTAATAATAATGTACATGTAAGTACCATAAATATTTTTGATGTGTGCAATAAATACAAATAGAAATTGAAAATTACAATAGCATCATCTTGAGTATCATCTTGACTATCTTGACTATCTTCATTCTGTTGAGAAGATTTCTCCTGTGGTTCTTCACTATCTTCCATATGAACCTATAACAGATTAATAATATTAACATTTTATCTAATACCAAGCAACTATATAATTTAATTAGAAAACATACTTCTTCAATTGCTTGTTCCTGCAACATTGAATTAACATCCAATTTTTGATGATAGCTTGGCGTTGGCTCGAAATAATCTATAATCCTGTTTATCTCGTCTTCCGTACGATTGTGAATATTTCTCTTTAAACAAATTTGCAAATCCATTTCCATTTCGCATACGTAAACCTATAAAAAATATTTTAAAAACTGTCCTCTATTTTCGTTTATTGAATCTGTGATGTTACAACGAAAACTTACTTTAAAACCTTTGGTTTTAGCAAAGCTCCACATTTCCTCATAATCTGATATCTTTTCATTAATACAATCTAATATTATGAAATTAAAGAAACCATCGGTAATATTCTTTTTAAAAGCTTTAACAAGCGATGTGATATAACTTTGTTCCATTGCTTCTTCATACTCATAAATCATCTCCTACAAAGTTCATCAAAGTAAAATACTATCCCATACTTTAATTGTAACTTTTTTCCCGTTATCATCCGTAGATTCTATCTCCTTCTCTGCTAAGAAATAATCATCAAGACTTAATATCCTTGGAGCAGAGCCACCTTGTTCAACTTCTTTATCCTATAATAAAGTAAAAATACAATTTTAATATATCCATTCTACTGAAACAATCAAGTGAATTTTATTCCCATAAATATGAATTTACTTTAATAAGTTTTGCCACAAAAGATTTTCCACTGCCTGGTGGTCCTCTTAAAATGATGGCTATTTTTGGTGGTCTGTTCTGACGACCCGGAGGACACAGTAAATCATCCACCATTGTGCAGTTTGGTGTTTTTGCCAACTCCAATGTTTTTTGTGCAGGTTCCAATACATTATGCTGAGTATCTGTAACACTGTAACAGAGAACATCAATTTACTAAGAGACCTGTACAATCTACTTGCAATATTTAAATATACAACCAACAAAATATAATACTCTTTTTATACAAAGTAACAAAAGAAATAACAATAATGATAAACAATCGTAAGTTATAAGGATCGACATGGTCGAATTTTTACGCGCTATATTCAAAGTTTTTTGCACAAGGTATTAAGACATTGAAGAATTTCAAAAGCGTACTGAGTACGAGAAAAAAGAGAAATGTTTTTGAAAGCTATTTAAAAAAAAATAGCGATCACCTGAAAATAGTGAATGTTTTTCTGTTATCTTATGCAGGCAAACGGATTAAACTACAAGAAATACGTTTGCACATAATACGAACACATTAAAATAAAACGTGTTTGTATTATGCTGCAGTATGCTTCTTATGTTTAAACTTAAATATTTTTATAGTCATGTCAATGTATGTAATATAGAAAAGAGTATGGAGAACACTTCCAGACTATCCAAAAATAGCAGGAGCATTAACAATTTCCAGAAATAGTTTTCACTTTTATAACTCATGTCTGAGTCATTACCATACATACGAGCAAATTTTTCATAGTTCTGAGTGCATAATGTTAGTCAATGTAGTAGCATTAATGTGGTCACATAAGTACATGTGCATAATCAGTAATATAAATAAGGAAAACCAATGGTTTTCAAAATACTTAACATGCCAATAAAATTGACACAATAGACAAAAGCATAAATAGTAATATTTTCTTAACTGCATTTTAGCAGTTTAAAGAGAGAATATAAGTTTGCATAAATAAGTCTTCATACTTTATGCAAAATGTAACGCTTATCAGAAACATTATATCTATAAATGGATACCAATGTTATAATGTAAATTTAAGAACACAAAAGTCGTAAAAGCATTTATTTTACAATATTTCAAAGACTAAAACATATAGGACGCATTTAATAATCAATAGGACATACCTGGTCTCTTGTGGCTTTGTATCTATGATGTTGTTGTTTGAATTCTCCTGCCAGTTTATATTTCCTTTTGATCTAAAGAAAGTTACATGTTTTCAAACGAAATTGATGTACATTAATATCATATAGTATCAATGATAATTTATGACAGTCCATTTATAAAAATAAACACATAAACTTATAAGTAAAGTATTTATTTCACTATACCTCTCTTCTTCTTTGTCATTCTCTTTATTCATTTCCTTTTGAGAGATCTCACACCTTTCCCGCGTTCTTTCTACATTTGGAAAAAAGGACAATAAACGTGAAACTGTCTGTACAATTTAATAATTAAACATGTATAAATACATATTTACGTTTCCTTAAATATGTTGAACAAAACAGAAAATTGCATGTTCTTGTAAGTTAACACCAAATTACCTTTATTAGCACTCTTATCATA